GCCGTGGAAGAAGCTGATGCAGTCTGACGTATTTCTCAGGTTAAAGCACTTCTCATCGATGAACTGGGCGGAGCTTTTGTCCTCGAGGTCTCTCTCCAGGGCATGCTGAGCATCTCGGTTATCCCTGCAGGGAGGAAGGAGTCATCTGTGTACTGTGTCCCTGCCCAGAGTTCCGAGCCTGGGTCACACAGCAGGTGTGTGTTGTAAGCCTAGACCCCCAGGAAGCCACCCAGTAGCTTTTCAGTCCTCTTCCTACCTCGATGCCCCACCACATACCCAGAGGCCCCCCACTCTCCCACCTCCCCCGACTCCAAACAGATTTGTCCTTTATTCTTTTTTTTTTTTTTTTCCGGAGTCTCAATCTGTCGCCCAGGTTGGAGTGCAGTGAGGCAGTCATGGCTCACTAGTCTTGACCTCTCAGGCTCAAGCACTCCTCCCACCTCAGCCTCCTGAGTAGCTGGGACTAAAGGCACGTGCCACCAAGCCTGACTTTTTAAATATTTTGTAGAGATCATCTTGCTGTGTTGTGCAGGCTGGTGTTAAACTCCTAGGCTCAAGTGATCCTCCCTGCCTCAGTTTCCCAAACTGTTGGGGTTACAGGTGTCAGCCACCACACCTGGCCCCTGTTGTCCTTCAGAACAGGGATAGGTAAGCATTTACTGTAAAGGGTTGCATGGTAAATATTTTAGGCTTTGTGGGCCATAGGGTGTCTGTTGTAACTACTCAACTATGCATAAAAGCAGTCACAGATACGTAAAAATGAATGTGGCTTCATCTCAATAAAAGTTTATTCACAGGAACAGATGGCGGGCCAGATTTGTCCCTCCAGCTGTAGCTTGCTGGCCTAATTTAGAAGATATCAATCCACACTTTGGACAAAGCCTGATTAAAGAAAGTTAAATCACTTCTTAAATCAGTCATTGTGTCTGACCCTATGCTGGGCACTGAGGGATAAGACACGAATAAGATGACCCAGTCACTGCCTTCAAGTTGCTCACAAATTTGTGTGAACAAATACAAAAAATAAATACAGAAAAGAATGGTAAGGGCATCCTGCAGGTTTGCAAATACGAAATAACACAGAGGAGGAAACCATTAACTGAGGGTGAGAGGGTGGTCAGGGAAGGCCTCCCAAGGAGGTATCTGAGCTGGGTTTTCACAATAAATAGGAGTAGACATTATGGGGGAATTGCTGCTGGGGAAATAAGAATTCCAAGCCAAGAACATCACACACACCAAGAAGAGAAGCTAGAAACACCAGATGTGTAGGGACCTCAAGATGAGGAACGGGTGGAATTAGAGGCTAGATGAGGATAGGGATTGGGTGGGGTCAGGGACTGGGCGGGGTCAGGGGCTATGTGAAGACAGGGATTGGGTGGGGTCAGGGGTTAGGTGGAGTCAGAGACTAGGTAAAGACGGGGATTGGGTGAGGTCAAGGACTGGGCGGGGACAGGGGCTAGGTGAGGACAGGGATTGGGTAGGGTCAGGGACTAGGTGAAGACAGGGATTGGTTAGAGTTAGCGCTAGGCGGTGTCAGAGACTGGGCAGAGGTAAAGAGAGGACAAGGGACCAGGGCCAAGGCTTAAGCCCCGAGAGCTGGTTGGTATCTTGACTAAAAAGCTTACACTTAAAGGTGACTGCCAAATTCCAGACGTTTGAGGACCACTTCCATGATTCTCGCCAAATACCAAACTCTACTATTTACTTATTTTTCTTTTCAAAACTCACTTTTAATTAATATTAATTAATTTTGGGGGTTCGGAGTTTTCCTCTTGTTGCCCAGGCTGAAGTGCAGTGGCAAGATCTCAGCTCACTGCAATCTCTCTCTGCCTCCTGAGTTCAAGGGATTCTCCTACCTCAACCTCCCTAGTAGCTGGGATTACAGGCACGTGCCACCACTCCAGGCTAATTTTGTTGTTGTTGTTGTTTTGTTTTTGTTTTTTTGAGACGGAGTCTTGAGCTGCACTCCAGCTCTGTCGCTGGAGTTCAGTGGCGCGATCTCAGTTCACTGCAACCTCCCCCTCCTGGGTTCAAGCAGTTCTCCTGCCTCAGCCTCCTGAGTAGCTGGACTGCAGGCACACGCTACCACACCCGGCTAATTTTTCGCATTTTAGTAGAGATGGGTTTCACCGGCTTGCCCAGGCTGGTCGCGAACTCTGGAGCTCAGGCAAACCCCTTCCACTCCCCCCACCCCGCCCTGGCTTCGGCCTCCCAAAATGCTGGGATTAAAGGCATGAGCCACCAAGCCTGGTCTAATTTTTTAATTTTTTTTAGTACAGACGGAATTTCACCATGTTGGCCAAGCGGGTCTTGAACTCCTGACCTCAGGTGATCCGCCCACCTTGGCCTCCCAAAGTTCTGGGATTACAGGCATGAGCCACCGCACCCTGCCTAAAATCACTTTTAAAATATAAATAAATGAAGTTTTGCGCAGTGGCAGTATCGTAGCCAATGAAGTTTATCCCAGGCACGATTATTGCTAATTGAAAACTTTTCCCAATACCCGGCCATGATTACTTGAAATATAGTTGGCATTGGCAATTTTTGACAGTCTCTACAAAGACTGAATTATTTAAAAGTAAAAAAAGAAAAGAAAAAATAAGACAAATTATATATATATATGTATATATATATAAATGTATGTTAAAAGGAAAATTTACATTCCTGTCTTTAAAGAAAAACCCATCACCCTTTCCATTAATAGAAGATCACTTCAGACCTAAATATTAATACTAAGTGGGCACTCGCTAAATCCTAGCTAGAATATGTTTCCTCCAGAAGGTTCTAAGCCTGGACTTTTTTCTGTTTCCTTGTTGGCTGAGAAAAGAGAGATCAGTTGGTGTTACAGACACATATGCAGCTGACACATTTGCCTTGGAGTGTTTAGAAGAATTGTGAGAATAGAGAAGGGAATCACTTCCATTAAGTAAGGTTAAGTCAGATACCCACTACTCTGAGTGTCTCTGTCTGTTCTCTGTCTGTCTCTCTCTCTCCCTCCCTCTCTTCTTGTGTCTATGTCTCTGTCTCTCTAACCTTTGTCTCTTTCCCAATTTCCCTCTGCCTAAGCCTCTGTGTGTCTCTGTGGTTCTCTCCCTCCCTCTCCTCCATCTGTATCTTTTTTTTTTTCCTGCTATAGATGTTCGTTGCTGGTGAGGGGTTTCCAGCTGGCCAGGAACCAGGAAGTTAAATCCCGATAGTGGTTGGGTTCCTACCTATCAGGAAGCACAGGTCATGTAGGGGCAGGAGAAACCCGATCCTGGGGCCCTTGGGGCTTCCAAGTTGGCAGAGCCCTGGAGAAATGGGGCCCTGTCCTGCTAATGAGCTGGAATGTGAAGCAAGGCCAGAATGTGGAAAGCAAGCATTTCAGAGAATTCGAGGGAAAACTGGGGCCTCAGAGTCCAGTGTGTCCAGCTGCCTGGCCCTTGTCATGAGGCCTGGAAAGAGGAGGCAGCCCTGTCCTCCCTACTTGGTCCACAACCAAGGGCTGGACCAGTGCCAAACTCACCCTGCTGTCAGCCCACTGGGAAAAGCCCAAACAAAGCTCCTACTCTGTCAGGAAGAGCCTTTTCTGCCTCGCCAGGGCACCTGGTGCAGTGAGGACACCGCCCTGTCCAGACGTGGGTTTCAGGCTTCGAAGAAAATCATGAGCCAACAGCCTGGTGCCCGCCCATGCCAGGGCGGCCACCTGAACAGGTCAGTGGCCGAGCTTCCCCAAGCGTGTGAGGACACACCAGGCTCTTCCCAGCTAATGAGGCGCCAGTTCTCGGTTAATGAGGAGAATCCCAACCCCTCCGGCAGCACGAGCTGCCTCCCTGTGAGATGGCAGGAGTCCTCGGACACACAGCCACTGCCCAGGGACAAACAGCCTCCATCCAGAGTGGCTCAGCCTCTAATCTCCACAAAGTGAACTGCTGCCCTCACCTGCTCTCATCCTCTCCCTCACTCACTCTGTGTTTGCGCTCTCTCTCTCTCTCTCTCTCTCTCTCTCGCTGTTGCTCTCTGCCGCAGTCGCTTTCATCTCTCTTGGTCTCTATTCAAGCTATCCAAGCATCTCTCTCTCTCTCTCTCTCTCTTTTAGACAGTCTTGCTCTGTGGCCCAGGTTAGAGTGCAGTGGTGCGATCTTGGCTCACTGCAACCTCTGCCTCCCGGGTTCAAGCGATTCTCCTGCCTCAGCCTCCCAAGCAGCTGGGATTAGAGACGTGCACCACCACACCCAGCTAATTTTGTGTTTTTAGTGGAGACAGGGTTTCTCCATTTTGGCCAGGCTGGTCTCGAACTCCTGACCGCAAGTGATCCACCCACTTCAGCCTCCCAAAGTGCTGGGATTACAGGTGTAAGCCACGGTGCCTGGCCTCTTTTCTTCTTTTTCCATATCTGCCTCTCTCCATCTCTTTGCCTTTCTCTGTCTCTGTCTCATCTCTTGATTTAGCTTTCTGGCATATCTGATTCTGTGTCTCTCTGTCCCTCTGTCTCCTGGCTCCCCATCTCTGTCTCTGTTTATCTCTTCATGTCTCTCTGTCTCTTTTGATGTCAGTGCTCATCTCTCTCTGTGTGCCTCTCAGTCTCTGGGACTGTCTCCATCTGTCTCAGTCTTCCTGGTTCTCCCAGCTCCTCTCTGCCCTCTGGTTGCATCGTCTGGGGTTGCAAAAGCAGCCTCTCAACCCTAGTCTCAGGATTCCTCCTCTGAGGTCCAGCTCCCCACTTTAAGTCTGGAAATTGTTCACTCTGCTGGCTCAAACTATCCCATTTCCAAAACATCAGCCCTCCTCTTCCCTGCAGTGCCACGGTTTGTCACGTGTCATGGCAGCTACAAATGGAAAACCATTCTCTCTTGCCATAAATAGAAGATCACAAAATAAATGGAAGAAAGAACAGAATAAAGAGCCCAGAAATAAATCCAGGCATTTACAGTCAACTGATTTTCAGCAAAGATGCCAAGAATGTACAATGTAGAAAGGACAGCTTCTTCAATAAATGGTATTGATACAAGTGGAAATGTACATGCTGAAGAATGAATTAGACCCTTATCTCACACCATAGACAAAAATCAACTCAACATAGATTAAAGTTAGCCAGGCATGGTGGCGCACACATGTAACCCCAGCTACTCAGGAGGCTGAGGCAGAAGAATCACTTGAACCTGGGAGACAGAGGTTGCAGAGAGCCGAGATTGCACCACTGCCTGCCAGCCAGGGTGACAGACTGAGATGCCGTCTAAAAGAAAAAAAAGATTAAAGACTGAAATGTAACACCTGAAACTGTAAAACTACTAGAAGAAAACATAGGGGAAAAGTTCCATGACATTGGTCTGGACAATGACCCCAACAGCATAGGAAATAAAGCAAAAATAGACAAATGGGATTACATCAAACAAAAAAACTTCTGCACAGCCTGCAAAACAATCAAGAGAGTAAAGAGACAACCTAAGAAATGGGAGAAAATATTTGCAAACTATACATCTGATAAGGGGTTACTATCCAAAATATAAAAGGAACTCAGACAACTCAATAACAAAAAAAAAAAAAAACCCAGTTTTAAAATGGGCAAAGTTATTGCAAAATAATTTATGATAGCCTAGATATGAAATCAACCCAAGTCTCATCTGTCTCATAGCAGATGAATGTGTAGGAAAATGTGGTATGTATACACAAAGGAATACTACTCAGCCTTAAAAAAGAAGGAAATCCTGTCATTTGTGACAACATGAATGAACCTACAGGACATCATGTAAAGTGAAGTAAGTCAGGCACAGAAAGACAAATATCTCATGATCTCACACACATGTGGAGTCTAAAACAATCGAACTTATAAAAGTACAGAGTAGAATGATGGTGACCAGAGGCTGGAGTGGGGGATGGGGGAGATGTTAGTCAAAGGGTACAAAATTTCAGTTCGTCAAGAGGAGTAAGTTCCAGAGATCTCCTGTACAACATGGTGACCATAGTTAATAACAAGGTACTGTGTTCTTGAAAATCACTGAGATTTTAAGTGTTCTCACTACAAAGAATAAATATGTGAGATAACGCATGTGTTAATTAGTTCCAATTAATTCAATGTTTTAAAATATACATGTAATTTCAAAACATCATGTTTTACATGATACAGCATATACCATTTTTGTCAATTAAAAATGAATAAGTAATTAAAAAAATAAGTGCAAGAAAAACACAAGGGCTGGGCGCAGTGGCTCATGCCTGTAATCCCAGCACTTTGGGAGGCTGAGGTAGGTGGATCACAAGGTCAGGAGTTTGAGACCAGCCTGGCCAACATCGTGAAACCCTGTCTCTACTGAAAATACAAAAATTAGCCAGATGTGGTGGCAGGCACCTGTAGTCCCAGCTACTCAGGAGGCTGAGGTAGGAGAATCGCTTGAACTCAGGAGGCGGAGGTTGCAGTGAGCAGAGATCGCACCACTGTCCTCCAGCCTGGGTGACAGAGCAAGATTCCATCTTGGGAAAGAAAAAAAAAGAAAAATGCAATAAAACAAAGACACTAGCCTGTTTCCAATTCTCCCTTTGTTAAAATTTGCCTGTTTAAATACAAGTATTTCAGCTGGGCACAAAGGCTCACCCCTATAATCTCAGCACTGTGGGAGGCAGATGTGGGCCAATCACTTGAGGTCAGGAGTTTGAGACCAGCCTGGTCAACATGGTAAATCTCCGTCTCTACTAAAAATACAAAAACTAGCTGGGTGTGGTGGCATGGGCCTATAATCCCAGCTACTCGGGAGGCTTAGGCAGGAGAATCGCTGGAATCCGGGAGGTGCAGGTTGCAGTGAGCTCAGACTGCACCACTGCACTCCAGCCTGGGCGGCAGAGTGGGACTCCATCTCAAAAAAAAAAAAAAGAATATTAAGGGATTTTATTTACCGACTTGATTTTTATTTATTTCATTTTATTTTTTAAGCCTTTACGGGTACATAGTAGGTGTATATATTTATGGGGTGTATGAATTTACCAGTACATAGTGGATATGTATATTTATAGGGTACATGAGATACTTTGATATAGGCATGCAATTTGTAACAATCACATCAGGGTAACTGGGGTATCCATCCCCTCCAGCATTTACCATTTCTTTGTGTTACAAACATTCCCATTTTTACTTTCTTTTTTTTTAGACAGAGTGTCACTCTGTTGCCCAGGCTGGAGTGCGGTGGCATAATCTTAGCTCACTGCAACCTCTACCTCCTTGATTCAAACAATTCTCTGCCTCAGCCTCCCAAATAGCTGGGATTACAAGCACCTGCCAGCACACCTGGCTAATTTTTGTATTTTTAATAGAGACAGCGTTTCACCATCTTAGCCAGGCTGGTCTTGAACTCTTGACCTCGTGATCCATCCATCTCAGCCTCCCAAAGTGCTGGGATTACAGGTGTGAGCCACTGCACCTGGCCCCCTATACTCTTTTAGTTATTTTTAAATGTGCAATAAATTATTGTTGACTGTAGTCACCCTGCTGTGCTTAAGGTTTTTTTAAGCAAATTAATTTGTAGACAAACTGTAGGTACCATAGTGCTGGTGATAAGTGGAATTGTGAGAAATTAGTCCAGGGGCACAAAAATTATTGAACTTCAACTCTGTGTTTGTCCTTTCAGCCTTCATTCCTCCTGCTGTATTTGCATCTTCTCTGCACACCTCCACCCCGATGTCTTCCTAGGGCTCTCCAATGTGTCTGGCCATGACCAAGCTCTTTGCTCTAAGGGTAGCTTGTCTGCGATGTCTTTCTCCCTAACATACAGTTCTAACCCCTTTGGGGGGTCCAAAGGCTCCTGGAGGAGGAGGAGGTGACTTCTGGGGTGCAGCAAACCAAGATGTATGCTCCCAGAGCTGACTTGGAAGCTGCCTGGCCCCTCTGCCTCCACCCACTGCTGCCCATGTGCACCAGGCAGCCAGAGGAACAAGCCACTGCCAGGTTGCCAGCCTCTCCCATGCTGCCTGTGTGTCTGTGTCAAGAGTGAATGAAGTGGGAAAACCAGCAGAGCAGCGTGCCCTGAAAGAGTTAAAGACGAGTGCCAGCTGCAGGCAGAGGTGAGGCGGCTGCTTCCACAGGGAACTGGTGCCAAGGGCCTAGCTATGGGCCCCAAGCCCCATAAAACTCAAGCCTCCCTTTAATTGTGAGGGGTCCCCGGGCTTGTTAAGATACTGGTTACATCATCTTGTAAGAACAAAAAGCTGGTTTCTTTTGGTGACTCCTGGCCCAGTGCCTCCACCAGCTCCCTTGTGGAAGTGCCCAGCCCTTGGACTTGCTACCTAATACCACCCACTCTGCCATCTCCCAAGGCTCATAACTCAAATGGGGAAGCCACAGGCTAAGAGGGGCCTCAGGGAAGCCAGGTGTCTCTTGCCAGGACTCTTGTTGCAAACAAGCCAGTGAGGCACTGGCTTGTGAGGGTCGATTGTGCACATCTCAGTAACCTCATATTCGCAGCTGAAAATCAGCCATTGTGGTAGCATTTACACCACCGAAACTGGCAGGCCCGAGAGCTTGGGACTCCTTTTTTCTTCGAAAGCTGGTTATTGAACATTTACCAGCACACCACTGACCAAAAGTGGGCCCGTTTGGCTTGTCCCCCAGAAACCTGGGAGTCCCAAAACAAACCCCAAGGAGAGGGAAGAGAAGGAAAAAAAAAAAGCCCTTACCGCATCTGCATGTCAATTCTTTGAGCCAATTTTCTCATCTGTTCTTGGCAACATTTTAGTAAATCTACTTCCTGAAATGAAAAATGTCAGAAAGAGCGGTGCCTCTTAGAACCTGACAGCCTCGTGTTTCCGGCCAGAGCCCTTACCTCTCCCCTCCCCTCCCACCGACCACTCTTGACCCCAGGAGGGGAAATGTCAGTGTGGAGCTTCTGCCTCAACCCACATGACCCCAGGACCAGGTAGCGAAGGGTTGATTGTGGAGGCTCCACCTTTTTTTGCCCTACTGTTTTTTATAGACTCCTAGAATTAAAAAAAAATAGCACCTTCTATGTGCCAAGCACTCACTTATAGATTATTTTATCATTACATTAAATAATGCATATGAAGTAGTACAGCCTATGACATATAGTAGGTGCTCAAGAAACACTAGCTTTCATTATTATTATTGGTGTATTATTATCATGTCCGTTTTGGGAGATGAAAAGACTGAGGGTCAAATAACTCCATTTCTCCCTGTTCCTAAACTGCAAACTAGGCATCCACCCATGCTTTCTGAGCCCTAACTTTGCACAGGGTGACACATGTGGCTTCTGCTCCTGACAGGTAGCTCAGTAATCTCTCTGATCTGCTGGCCTTCCTGCCTCCTTTACGGTACTGGGCAGACCCAGGAGATGCCTTACCCGAATAAGGTTTTTCTCCACGTTGTCATGGACCAAATCAATCCCAATCCTCTTCTCTCGATGGTACAGACACTCCAAGGCAACCTGTGGGAAGCAGGGGAAAGAGTATATTCTCCCTGCGTCTGTTTGCAGACCCTGAACAGAAAGAGACTCGCATCCATCCTTGTCACAATCTGTTCTTTTCTTCCAGAAACCTGGCTGCTCCATGTGACCTCTTTACTGGGCATTAGATGGGCTTCTGCTTCCCCTTCGTCCCCGATGTGAGCTGTGAGTTGCCATATGACCAACGCATCCAGAGACGTAAGGCCCATGCAGAGAAAGCAGGATAAAGTATCGTCCCAAGGACCAATTTTGATTCCCATAACTGCATCAGCAGCCCCAAGCCTTCCCAAAAGACAATAATACATACAGTAAAATTCCATAATAATTTCAGATAAGATGGTGTTGGCTGCCATCCTCCATGCAGTTTTTCTTCTGATTTCAGTCAGGGCTCAGCCACTTCTTATTGCGTGCATTTAAGCAGATTGCTTAACCTCTCTGGCTGCGTCCTCCTCTGCAGATGGGTGCCATATTGGTGCCTGTCTTACAGGTTCATTGTGCAGGTGAAGGTGGCTTGACAGGTGTCAATCACTGAGTACACTGTCTACAAATATTACCTGTGAATATTCGTGAAAACTCCTGTTTGTTGTTGTTGTTTGTTTTTTTTTTTTTTTGAGATGGAGTTTTGCTCTAATTGCCCAGGCTGGAGTAGAGTCGTGACCTCAGCTCACCGCAAACCCTGCCTCCTGGTTTCAAGCAATTCTCCTGCCCCAGTCTCCGGAGTAGCTGGGATTACAGGCATACGCCACCACTCCTGGCTAATTCTGTACATCTAGTAGAGACGGTGTTTCTTCATGTTGCTTAGGCTGGTTTTGAACTCCCAACCTCTGACAATCCACCCACCTCGGTCTACCAAAGTGCTGGGATTACAGGTGTGAGCCACCGCGCCCGGCTGAAAACTCCTCTTTGCAGATCTCCCAGTGGAGGGACAGTTTGGGGAGGTGGTCAGGACAAGCCTGCCACACAGTCCTGGGCCTTACAACTCTCAGGCAGACCTGGGCAGAGCAGAAGAGAGGACAGGAGAAGGGGCTTTTCAGGGGCTCTCTATGATAGGGAGCTGAGAAACAACAGTGATTGGCAAACCAGCCCGTGATGTCACAAAGGGCCCGGAGCAGAAGGAAGCAGGGTGTCAAGGTCTGAATGTCAGGATGCAAATGTATCTGATAACTCAGAAACTCACTGACCCGTGCCACAAGGATTTCCAGAGCCCCTTCTCGGAGTCATGCTCTGCTGAGGTGCTGAGGATAGCACAATGAACCAGGCTGACAGTCCTCTAGGAGAACACAGGCTCTCACACAACCTGTGTTCTCCTAGGGGAGAGAACACCCATGAGAAACTCAGTCAGACTGGGCACAGTGCCTCCCTCGTGCCTGTGATCTCCACACTTTGGGAAGCCAAGCTGGGAGGATCACTTGAACCCAGGAGTTGGAGACCAGCCTGGGCAGCATAGTGAGACCCCATCTCTACAAAAATTTAAACTTAGCCAGGGGTAGTGGTGCGTGCCTGTAGTCTCACCTTCTTGGGAGGCTGAGGTGGGAGGATCCCTTGACTCCAGGAGGTCAAGCAGTGAGCCAAGATCATGCCACTGCACTCCAACCTGGGCAACAGAGCAAGACCCTGTCTCAAACGATAATAACAACAAACCAGAAACTCAATCATTTCCAACTGTGTGAAGGGCCAGGATGAGGGCCAGGATGAAAATATTCAGGGTCATGTGAGTGGGTGAGGAGTAACCAGCAGAGTGGTCAGGGAGGAATTCTCTAAGGTGGAGAAGGACTGAGTCATGAGAAGCAGAGATGCAGAGCTGGGTAGGAATGCACCAGAAGGGAAAATAGCAGATGCAAAGGCTCTGAGGTCAGCAGAAGAACAGACAGGAAGCCATTGGCACTGGAGTAGAGGAAGCGAGGCTAGAGCAATAGCAGGGACAGGGGTTATGGGGCGAGGAAGGAATTTGAGAATGAAGATGTTAATTTCTGGGAAGCCATGAAGGGAACTAGCAGCTGCTGTGAGGACAATGGATTAGAAGAGAGCAGGAATTGGGAGACCAGGAAGGAGGTGGAGGGCGTTGCGCAGGGAGAGGCTGCCTGGACTGTGGGGGCAGCCCGTGAGATAGAACTGTGATGTTGCTGGTCCCCCTGCCGCCATGTGGCTGATCAGAGAAAGCCACATGTGGCCAGTCAGAACCAGACTTTCCAGAAAGGATGGGGGCGTGAGAAGAGAGTGGGAGGGAGAGCAGTAGGTTGGGGATGCTGCAGTGGGGCTCTGAGAAGCAGCCTTGCCCGTCCTCCTTCCCAGGGAGAATCCGGGGGTGTGGTTAGGGAGACAGAGGACCCCTCCTCCCACTCTCTGCATCCATGGGTTTGGAAATCCGAGTGGTGGAAACCTATGCCGTGTCTCCCAAGGGAATCCGGAGGCAGGAACTCTCCTACAGAAGCACCTGTAGCTGCAGGAGGCTTCCAGGCAAGAGGTTCTGAGTTCCCCACACACTCCAATGAGCAGCCGGTCATCATCCTGTGTGGCCAAGGTCAGCTCCCGTAGGTGCTGCTGGTCCCTTATCCAGTGTCTGCTCAACCCCTCCCATGATTCTCTCCTGGATGCAGTGAGAAACATTCACTTATCCAGACCCCTTTGCAGCCAGAAAGCCCATGCAAATGCTGGCAAACAGGCTAAAAATGGAAACACATGGCAGACCTTCTGGAAAAGATGTCCCCTGATAAAAAGCGATGGTGCCCCTTGCTGCGTCTGCTCTTTGTTCTACCCTTGCCTTCCTGCCTTGAATGAGAATATCAAGAGGCCCCTGGCACGCAGGGACTTGCAATATAAAATACGAAACCTCCTTGGAAACTGTAGGGCAACATGCTGTGGGTGGCAGAGCAGAAAGAGAGGAGGCTGGGTCCCTTCTGGCACCAAGTTGAGGCTGCAGCCGCCTGATCTGTCTCCCTCTGGAATTTTCCTTATGACAGAAAAATAAATTCCTGTTTGGCTAAGCCATTGTTGTCGCATATCTGTTACATGCAGCCAAAAGCAATCCTAACTGGGCAGGAAAATGACTGGAGGCTGGGAGACCAAAGAAGTGTCAGAAATGTCCACATTTAGCTTTTTCGTTTGTTTGTTTCTGAGATGGAGTCTTGCTTTGTGGCACAGGCTGGAGTGCAGTGGCATGATCTCAGCTCACTGCCACCTCCACCTCCTGGGTTCAAGTGATTTTCCTGCTTCAGCCTCCCAAGCAGCTGGGATTACAGGCATGTGCCACTATGCCCAGCTAATTTTTGTATTTTTAGTAGAAATGGGGTTTCATCATGTTGGCCAGGTTGGTCTCCAACTCCTGAACTCAAGCGGTCCACCTCCCAAAGTGCTAGGTTTACAGGCACGAGCCACCATGCCCAGTCCACATTTAGATATTCACTCATGTATGCAACATATATTTATTGAATGCCTACTCTGTGCTTCGCCCTGTCCTAGGCTGGGAATACATTCAAAATGTTAGCGTCAACAACATCAGTCAGCACCGACATTGGTCACCATGGACCCACAAAGACACACAGGTGCCCTGCACTGAATAGCAGTCTTGAATACATCAGTGACAAAGCAAGCAAAAATCTCCACCTTGATGGAGACTATCCTACTTCTAGTATTCAATCAAGTGTAGAGCATGTTAGAGGATGTTAAGTATTATGGGGAAAAATGAAGCAGTTCTGGGCTGGGTGCAGCGGCTCATGCCTGTAATCCCAGCACTCTGGGAGGCTGAGGTGGGTGGATCACTTGAGGCCAGGAGTTTGAGACCAGCCTGACCAACATAGTGAAACCCTACCTTTACTAAAAATACAAGAATTAGCTGGGCGTGGTGGTGGGTGCCTGTAATCCCAGCTCCTTGAGAGGCTGAGGCATGAGAGTCGCTTGAACCCACTGTGGAGGTCACAGTGGGCCAGGATCACACCACTGTACTCCAGCCTGGTTGACAGAGCGAGACTCTGTGTAAAACATAAATGAGGCAGTTGTTTGAAGTATGTGCTCTCAGGACCAGAACACACACATGCTCATGCATGCACATGCACATACACACATGCTGAGGCGTGCATAAGTGTGCACACAATATCTCCATGAAACCCCTGCAACTTTGATGTAGCCTCAAGGAGACAAGGAAATTCTATTCAGTCCAAGAAACCCTGATTTGACTGGGATGATCCTGGATTGACTGAGATTGTATTACTGATCGTATATACGATGATGCAGCTCAAAGCAACCTGCAAGGAGCCTGCCACCTTGATCTTCAGTTAAGAGATGTGGAATGAGCACGCAGTATCCCCATCACACGGTCACAGCCCTGTCGCTGCCCCTGTACTCACCTGCAACGGGGAGTTCACCTCATCCGCCGCGCACTCCAGCCGCCTTTTGACCATCTCCAAGCTCTGGTTCTCAGTTAGAAGCCTGTCCAGCTCGTAGCTCAGCTCTGACTTCCAGAAGCCAATGTCCGACAGCCTCTGGCCCAGGTTCCGGGAGGTGCCCTCCTGCATCTGGTGCGTCAGCTGGTCCTTGTCCTGCAAGAGCCTCATGGAGTCATCAGTCAGCCGGCTGGCCCACAGCCGGGAGGCCTCAGCCCCACGCACCTGCAGCTGGTTGGACTGGTCCCAGTCGTGGGGGCTATAGCGGGAGAAGAGTGCAGAGCGGAGCGCGGGCAGGACGGTGGGCGGCCGCAGGGTGCTGGGGGTCTCATCTGGGCAGGTCTGGACGTTGGAGATCTTGTAGAAGAGGCTAGGCCTCCATGAATTGAGGTAGCGGTACCCGGGCAGGTAGTAGGGCTGGTAGCACTCCTGGATCACTGGAGCCTGTACGGCCGGCAGCGAGGTCAAGCCACAGCTCTTCTTGGGGCTACAGTAACTCGCAGTTTGAGTGGTCCCAAGAAACTCCATCCTTCCCTTGAGCCCCACTCGGGCAAAACTCTGTTCAAGGGGCCTAAGGCATCACCAGGAAAGGGGAAAGTGCTTCTCTTAGGGACTGGCAGAACCTCTATGACTCAGCATCGGTGTCATAAAGCCCGGAGAGAGGGACCTTTAGCGGGGCCTTTGCTCACTTACAGGCCAGCTGGGGCCATCTTGTCCAACACAAAAAGACAGAAATGGTAATCACCAAAGTGAATGTGAGTTTCACAATCCGCAGATTCAGATGCAAGAAGTGATATTTTATCTTCCTATTACAGCTGATTGTGTTCCCAGACCTGACTCGGCCCCATGGGAGGAAAATTAATGTAGTTCAGCCACTGAATTCTATCATCACGGGCCAATTTGGTCAAAGTGAGTTGTTTTCTTTCTTTCTCTGTCTCCAGCATGGCATCAAAATGGTCTACCTGAGGTGAGGCATGGTGGTTCATACCTGTAATCTCAGCACTTTGGGAGGCTGTGGCTGGAGGATCGCTCAAGTACAGGAGTTTGAGACTAGCCTGGGCAACATATTGAGACCCAGTCTCTACAAAATAATGTAAAATGAGCTGGGCACAGTGGCTAACGCCTGTAGTCCCAACTACTCTGGAGGCTAAGGCAGGAGGATCACTTGAGTCCAGGAAGTGGAGGCTCCAGTGAACTGTGATCGCACCACAGCCCTCCAGCCTGGGTGACAGAGCAAGACTCTGTCTCCAAGTAAAAAGAAGATCCATTGGTACCACAGAATACCACTCAGCAATACTAGTCAAAACAGCATGAATGAATCTCAAATGTTAAGCTATGTGGAAGCAGCTAAGCTGTGTGGAAGCAGCTAGGACATCATGTAATAGTCCATTTATATGATATTCTGGAAAAAGCAAATCCATACGGACAGAGGACAGATCATTGGTTGCCAGGGGTTAGAGGTTGGGGAGAGCTGTTGACTCCAAAGAAGCCCAAGAAAATTGGGAGGGGCGAGACAGTATGTTCCAGATCTAAATTATGTTGATTACACATTTGCCAAAACCCATAGAAGTTTCCACTGAAAAGTGTAAATTTTACTGTACATCAGTTATACTTCAATAAACCTGATTTTTAAAAATAGAGGGAGGGATCTTGAGCCTCAGGAGGCAGAGACCATGTCTATTTTGCTCACCATTAAATTCCTGGCATTCAGTACACTATTGAATGAGTGAATGAATGAGTATCTAAAATGAGAGATTTCTTGTTCCAGAAAAGTTTTTCAACTCTATATTCTACAACAATTTTTTGTTTTCAGAGAGACAGTCTTGCTCTGTTGCCCAGGCTGGAGTGCAGTGGCATGATCATAGCTTACTGCAGCCTGAAAGCCTTAGCTCAAGTGATCCTCCTGCCTCAGCCTCCCAAGTAGCTGGGACTACAGATGCATGCCATCATGCCTGACTATTTTTATTTTATTTTTGTAGAGATAGGGTGTCTCACTATGTTGCCCAACCTGATCTCGAACTCTTGGCCTCAAGTGATCCTCCCGTCTTGGCCTCTGAAAGTGCTGGGATTACAGGCATGAGCCCCCTTACCCCCACCCAGCCTATAATAAGATTTTAATTGCACCAAGAAACTTTCCTCTCTCTTTGGCTGGTGACACTAGCAACAAAATGACAAGGTATAGAACAAGGAGAGGGCTTGATTTTCGGGCTTCTTTCTGCTGTTCAAATGGGAAAGAGATGAATCTAACTCTCAAACGGTCTCTGTTAGTACAGTATGATGTTCAACGGGAATTTTCCCCCAATCGCCTAAAATCAGGAGTGGGTATGAGAGGGCCAAGGCAGAGAAAGTGAAGCTGAATAACGTTTAGTAAGCACCTTCCATGTTCCTGTACTTTACATAAACTAATTTATTTCATTTCCACAGCAAACCTTTAAGGAAGGCTTCACACCCACATCTTCTAGAGTGGGAATCAGGAAAGCAAGTGGGCTCTGGTTCTCTGAATGTCCACAACACTTACCTCTCAGGGTCTTCTAAGATGGGATGTCACACACAGGAGGGGCCTGCACACAGAAGGCAGGTGAGAAATAGACAAAAAAGATTGGGGTAATTTTTTAAGCACTAAATGGTTATGGTAAAGTATTTTTTTGGAGGGAATTGTGGGGGGAGGTGAGGGAAAAATAGGTTTTTTGTGTAACAACAAGAAGTATAAAGTGAAATTTTATACTGGGTTTCTCGTCAGCCTTGGCTTCTTGTAGCCTCCCCAGATATAATTAATGTTATCAGATTTTTCCAGAGATAATTCATACATATATAGTATACATGTAGATAATATAACACAGTATATTAATAAAATATCTAAAATATTTATAATAACATCAGTGTTAACACATAGTATTACCACACTATGATGTTAATAAAATGTCTATGATATTTATATTTAGTGATAACATACTATGTTAATACACTATGATATTAATGAAACATCTATGATACTTATTGTATCTAGTGATAAAACACTATGATATTAATAAAATGTCTATGACATTTATAACATAAATGTTACAGTATTAACACAATATTAATAACATTTTCATCATATTTGTAATATCTAGTGTTAACACTATGATATTAATAAAATATCCAGTGTTGACACACTATGTCAGTACAGACAGGGTGTAAAACCACTGTGATATCAGCAGTAATATAGCGAAGATACTACGCACAACATCATGGGGTGTACACCCACTGTGGTATTAACAGTAGCATGGTGAAGATATTATGCAACACATCACAGGGTGTACACCCACTCTGATGCTAGAAGAAATATCTCCCCTTAAATATTACAAACAGTATCAAAGAATATACACCCAGAGTGTACACTCACTGTGGTATTTGGAGAAATATCTTCCCTTAGATATTATGAATAATATCAAGTGAATGCTCACACACACAGTGTATACCCACAGTCATATTAGAAATAATATCTGCCCTTAGATATTACAAATAATATCACAGGGCATTTCTTCTCTTTCCTAGTTTTTCTTACCTTCTCTCTTCTCCTTACTTTGCTTCTAATATTGATATTACCATTCCTACGAGCTCATACTCCAAGTAACCTCTACCTCTTAATCTCTCCTGGGTTACCATATATAATTTGTCACCACATGCTATGACTGTTTTCTTCGTAAGGTCCCTTGCTGTACACACTTGAGTTCAGGCCTTAACTCGTGTGTGGATCGCTGCAATCAGCCTCATTCTTGTCCTTGACTGCAGCCCCTTTCTTTGTAAATTACTTATGCATAAAGCCATTGAGTTTTCTAAAGCACTGCTTTTAACCTGAGAATACGAGCAAGCACTTTTAAAGAGAATCAACATTTCAGTGTAAGACCTTTTAAATTGAGGTGTTTTGAAGTAATCTGAACAGTTTTAATACATAAGCCATACAAAATAGCGTAATTTCTGACAGAATTTTAGAGTCAGCCATTAACCTGTCTCCTACTCTCCCCTAACCTTCCCAGCTTGGACTTCCGCTTTTCACAACACAGCGTAAGTATTTGAGGCAAGCTGGTTGCTATTTCCTGACCTCCGAACAGCGGCACATGGCTTTCCTGCTGCCATGCCTGTGTGCGTTCCAGCCAGCAGGCCAAGGTCTCCTGTAGCTTCTCGATCCTGCCGTGGAATCCAGGACACTTGCAGGACAGCTTCTTTTACTATTTCTGTTTTCCCTGACTGGTCTTCCTCTGTGAGCTTTTGAGGTTCTCTCTTTGGAGTCCTGTCGGCCCATACCCTCTTGTGTGACTGTTTGATCAACGTCCGCAGCTTTGAGAACTACTTCTCTATGGCCGTCTGCCACGTCTTTCTCCTGAGCTCTGTGACTGCGTTTCCAGCTGCTGCAATGCCTTGGCAATGCAAACGGAGCATGCCCAAAGCTGAGCTTCCTCCGTTTCCCAAGCCAAACCAGATCCCCAAATCTGGACTCTTCTAGTTTTGTTAATAATACTATGAAATCTCCCAGTTCACTCTTCACACAGAAAATAGAGTGGTCTTTTAAAATCACCTTTCTGCTTAAAATCGCTTCCCAGCAAAGTTAGGAATAAAACCCAAACTTTCAAATCTGATTGTGATATGATTTATGTTCAGCCACATTAAAATCGGATTTATTATTTTAAAAGAGAGACAGAGTTTTCACTTTGTTGCTAGGCTGGTCTTGAACTCCTGGGCTCAAGTGATCCTCCCACCTCAGCCTCCCATGTGGCTGGGCCTACCGACACATGCCACAGGTCCCAGCCCAGGGCCATGTCTTATTTCATCTTCTCATCTGTATAAAGTGTAGTAAATGCCTGGTTGATAAGAAAGTAGGAGGTTCTAACACTACGTTACTCTAAGTATTAGATGTTATCAACTTAAGGGCTGAACCTGAGCAGACTATGCTGCTAGAGATTACAGTGTTCCCAAGTGGAGGTAAAATGATAACATGCAAAATTCTCCAAAACTGACATACTGAGGGCAGGTGAAGAAAAACCCGAGAAAGAACTGGTCACGATGTCATCTGCAATCTGTTGTAATGCTAGCAATCCAGTTGGTTGTGGCCTTTCTTCATCTGTTCTTGAATAAGGCGTTCCAAGTCTTCCCGAAAGGCCTATAATCCACACAAATAAAGACTGAGCATGCGCATCTCACTTGCAGCAGAATGGCCCAAACGTAACTTGCTCCAATACAACCAATCTTCCCCCATCTCTCTTCTGAATAGCTTTTACCTCTACTATTTAAAAACAAATATAAAACACAAAATAATAAAATCAAAGCATTGGAAGCAGCAGCAAGAAGTTTGGTTTTATGGGGGGAACCATTAGGCATTCTTAATGTCAAAGAAAATGAGATATAATATCTGCACTAGATAGGCACAGATAAGACTCCCCTTATTAATAGACAACTGAAGCGCCAAGAAACTGCTGCATAAAAAGGTGACTTAGCTAGGACAGAGTCCCCATGTGAATGGGGCACAACTTTGAATACAGAGTGACTCAATGGCAAAAGTTTTTACTAAGACACACTAAATCATGGTTTCCATTTGATGATTTCCATGGCAATTCCTCAGCTCCATAAACTCTGAAAGCAAATTAATAAGAGTTGAGTTCCAATTACTCTTTTGCAACACTGTGATAAATGACAGTTTTAAAATGGGACTTTGGGTTCCATATTCTGGAGTTCTGCTGTATCTTTTTGGGGGTGCAATGAGGTGAGGTGCTGGCAGAAACAGTGTTTATATAGATCAAAACCCTGAACAGTAAGAGAACACATTCCAGTAACTTTCGAGTTACTAACATGGTTCATCATCTGAAACTTCTCCCAATCCTTCACATCACAAATAATTGGTTCTGACTTTCCATCACATCCAACAACACTTATGTATTGAGTTCGTC